GTCCGCTCGCGAAGGTGGAGCAGCCCGAATCTTTGCCCTCAGGATGTGGACAGTCGGGCGGACAAACAGGCACAGTGTGGAGCGAGGTGTCCCTGCTGTTAGGGAGCAGAAGGGGCGGATGTGTCTGTACGCCGTGGGGCGGGGCGGGTGTCAGGGAAACAAGGTTCTATTAAAGGGTCAGTAGGAATTTGGGAGGATGGCGATAAAGAGGGTTTCTTGGAGAGCTATAATGGCAAGTGTTAAGGCTGGGGGTCCTGGAAACGGGCTGCCACTATGGCAGCATCATTGAGTGGGTAGGCATCTCACCGCCCTTGAAGTAGGAGGAGCTGGCATGGGGCTGGGAGGAAGTTGGTTAAGTTTGGGAATCTCCTGGGATGTGCAGGTAGATGGCGTTAATGGGCGTCTGGGTGTGCAGAAGTGCAGCTCAGGGGCAAGTCTGGCTGGAGGTGCGAAGCTGGGAATCTCCACCAGTGCTGGTGGTGGGGTGACTGGCTGAAGGCATCCCGGTGAAGGATTCAGACTGGAAATAGGAGATCATGGGTGGAATGAAGGTGGCAACACGCATATTGGTCCGCTGGTGTGGAGGTGGAGCCCGCGAAGGAGAATGAAAGTGACCAGTTAGTGAGGGAGAGAGAAGGCTTTGAAAGTGCACCCAGTGGGAGTTCCCTGGATGTCCAGTGGTTAGTACTCCACGCTCTCACTGCCAAGGGCCTGGGTTCAATCCGTGATAGAGTAACTAAGGTCCCACATCCCACAAGCAGCACGGCGTGGCCAAAAAAGAAAAAAAAAATTACAGCACTACGTTGCCCCAAGTTCTGGGGATTCTTGGTCTGGACAGAGGTTGGGGGCCTCACACGTACACTGTGGGCTGAGTGGCAGGGGAGAGGCAGACAGGAGCTCTGACTTATGTTCTGATCACACCTTTAGGGCCTCCAGATGGTCATCCAGAGGGACTTCTTTCCTGATGTGGAGAAGCTGCAGGCACAGAAGGAGTACCTGGAGGCCGAGGAGAATGGAGACCTGGAACGGATGCGCCAGATCGCCATCAAGTTTGGCTCTGCCCTGGGCAAGATGTCCCGAGAGCCCCCTCCGCCCTGTAAGAGAAGTCCTGGGGGGGGGGGGCGGGAGGGGACTCCCACTGAACTGTTGCTTCAGGCTCTCTCCAATCCCCATCCCCTCTCTTCCCCCAGATGTGACTCCAGCCACATTTGAAACCCCTGAGGTGCACACGGGCACCGGGGTGGTGGGCAGTAAGGCCCTGGGCCGGGGCCACAGCCTGGAGGACGGCGATGGTGAGTGAGTGCCCCATTTCCCTCACACTGTTGGGTTTGCCTGGGGACCTCGTCTGTGGGGCCCTGGGGTGTTCAGGGGAAGGCTCCTTCTTGTCCCTGAGGGTCTCTCCTTAAAGGGCAACCCATGGGGTCTAGGAGGCAGAAGATCTGGGTTCAGCTCCCAAACAGGGGGGTCATCTGAGTCTCCAGCCCTCCTCTGTGGCGTGGGAATCTCGCCTCCCCTCTTGCTGGCCTGCTCACTGTACCAACCTCTGTCCGGGGGGCGTCATGAGCCTGGGGCGGGGGCTCCTTCCCTCACTGCCTCCTTCAGATGCCTCAGGGCCTCTGCACTTGCTTCTCCTGAGCTGGTCGCCCCCTGTGGGTGACTGCATGGCTGCTCCTTCTCTTCCTTCAGGTCTCTGCTCAGATGCTGCCTGTCAGGGAACCTTCCCTGACCTCCCAGCACAGTCACTCACCCTGTTCTCTGTGATTTGCCACCTGGCTCTGTTTTCTTGCTGGAGGACACGCCAGTTTAAAAGGCGTTTCTGTTTGTTTACCGTTTCTCCCTCCACAAGAGCAGGTCCTTTTGCTCCCATCTGCATGCCCTGCACCTAGGGTGTGCCTGGGCCTCCGGGTCTCCAACACGCTTACTAGAGCGTAAAGATTCATCCTGACTTTCCCGGGGAGCCTTCCCCAGAAGGAGCATCTTGGGCCCTGTGAACAGTGTGCCGTGGGCCTCCTCTCAGTCGGTGCTTCATCAGGGGTCGACGTGTGTGTGTAGATGGCCATGAGCTGCTCTCTACCAGCGTCGCATCCACAGTGTGCTCCGCTGGCACTGGTGCCCTGTGCGAACACATGTGTGACATTTTCTGCTCCAGAACCCAGCCTCCTGCCAGCCACAGTGCGTCCTGTGTGTCCTCAGAGCGTGGTTCTCCGTTGCGATGTGGCTCGAGAATCACAGACTGTTGGCAGATTCCTTTCCTTTGAATCCCCCTTATTTTTCGGTAAATGCAGGAATCCCCTGAGTAACCTGAGCTTAGGCACCACATAGTTCACGGTTGCAGGCGAGGGGACTGAGGCTCAGGAGGGCAGTAACCTCTGCAGGTCCCAGAGCTTTTGGTGGCGGGACAGGGTGTGAGTGCCCACCTTTCTGACACTCGTCTTGACCTTTTAGGCACAGTGCTTTGCACGCTGCCTGGCAGGTGGTAGGGGGTGGAGTAGAGGCCCTCCCCTGTCGTCCTCACTGCATCTGCACTGCTGTATGCAGTGCTGCACCGCCTCAGCGGGCTGCCCTGGCAGCGGCCAGGGCGGCCCGGGGTGTGGCCCAGTGCCTGTTAGGTGCCTCCCCGCCCACCGCTAGATAATACAGGGTCCTTGCCATCAGGTCCGCTAGCGGGTCACGAGGCTTAAGTGACAGTCACTCCCCTGTAGCACAGATACCAAGAAGGGAGGGAGTCAGGATAAGGGACAGGGGGACAGTCCAGGGTTTTGGAGGCAGGACCTACAGGACAGGCACTGTTTTGTTGTGGGAGGACCCCTTTTATCATGCTGCTCTAACGCCCGACGCCCCCTCCTGGCCTGAGTCAGAGTGCACTCTTCACTGGTATCCAGCAGATGGGAAGGGCCCCTGGGGGCTCCCTGGGCAGCTGGGGGAGTTGATTCCCCCCAAGGGGGTGTCGTCTGGCAGTGTGGGTTCTCACGGACAGACCCACGGCCAGAGCCAGGGTTCCTGGGACCGAGTGACTGCATGATGGTTTCGTGTCACCTGCCCACACCCCTGCACAGGAGAGGCCACAGAGGAGGAGGAAAGGGAAGCCCTGCCCAGCCTGGACGTCTTCCTGAGCCGGTACACGAGCGAGGACAACGCCTCCTTCCAGGAGATCATGGAGGTGGCCAAGGAGAAGAGCCGGGCGCGCCACGCGTGGCTCTACCAGGCCGAGGAGGAGTTTGAGAAGGTGCCCTGGTGCAGGGTCAGCGGTACCCACTCGGGGTGGGGGTCCCCGGGGCCAGGGCCCAGGGCCGGGGGTCCTCCCTGACCCACGCTCCCACCATGACGCAGAGGCAGAAGGATAATCTCGCGCTCCCGTCGGCAGAGTGCCAAGCCGTGGAGAGTGGCCAGGCTGGTGTGGAGACCTGGAAGTACAAGGCCAAGAACTCCCTCATGTACTACCCAGAGGGTGAGCGGCGGGCCGGGTGGGGGTGCAGGCTGGGGCCGAAGGTTTGGATTGGTTTTTGGGAGTGTGTGACTGTGCCCCTTGTACTCTGGGCCTTTGGGGTCCCGGTCCGTTTCAGGGCAGGCAGGTTCGCCTGCGGAGTCTGCGCGGTCGTGTGGCTCCCGCAGCTGCATTCAGGCTGTGCTCCGTGGGGAACCAGCTCCTCTCCCTCAGGCCCTGAGCGAGGGGCGGGGGGCCTGCCCACCCTGACACTGAGGTGATTCTGCTCCCACTGCCAGGCGTCCCCGACGAAGAGCAGCTCTTTAAGAAGCCACGGCAGGTGGTGCATAAGAACACCCGCTTCCTCAGGGACCCCTTTAGCCAGGCCCTCAGCAGGTCCCAGCTGCAGCAGGCCGCTGCCCTCAACGCCCAGGTGAGGGGCCGGGCCAGCGGGGTGGCGTGGGCACCCCCGCCTTTCCGGTCCTGGCCACCCCCATACGTTAGGACTGTCCTTGGGCTCAGCAGGGCTCGGCGGTGGGGGTGTGTCTGGGTCCCTATGTGGCGGTGTCTGAGTCTCTTCTCCATTCGTGGAGGCTTCAGTCAGACATGTTCTGTGGGTCAGGTCTGTGCCAGTTCCCGTGGGGTGGGCTGGGCTCGGTGTGGCGGACAGCAGAGGTTCCTGACCCCGGATTTACTGCAGGGCGGTGACTCCGGCCGTCATGGCGTTGAGGAGGTTGGAGGTGGGGAGCCTGTTTTGGAGGCTTTTACAGGTGCCTTGTGGGAGCCATCAGAGAACAGTTGCCCCAGTTAGCATAGCCTCCGCAGGGCCCTGAAGTCAGTAGCCCCTGAAGGTAACGCATGTCAGGTGTGGCTCGGCATGGCAGGCGGAGGTGCTTCCTTGCTTGGTTGCTGCTCTGACGGGTCCTCAAGGTCCTTGCAAGGGCCAGGGTCCACCTCGCTTCCCCTGGGTCTGCACCCAGGAAGGGAGGTGTGCAGCCTCTGCCTGTCAGCCAGAGGGGATGGCCTAGGCCCCTGACACCACCTCTCCTCTCGCTCCAGCACAAACAGGGCAAGGTGGGACCGGATGGCAAGGAGCTTATCCCCCAGGAGTCCCCTCGCGTGGGCGGATTTGGATTCATTGCCACACCTTCTCCTGCCCCTGGTGAGACACACGCCCGCTGGTGGGACGGCCTTGGGGGAGGTGGGCTGCCCGGCTGGCCTGGCACTCCTGGCGCTCCCCTGGGTCTGCACCGTGCCTCATGTGACTCAGGCCCAGGGTCCCATCTGTGCCAGGGCCGAACAGGGCTGTGGGTGGCTAGGCTCTCAGGCCTGACCTGGGACGTGTGGGGCCAGCTGGTCTAGCTGGGTGGTTTCTGTGGCTCGCCCTAAGGTCAGCAGGACAGACTGGCCTGGTGAGCAGGCAGAGGGGATCAGGGGGGAGGCCAGTAAGTCCAGTGGGCTCTGGACAGGTGTCCTTTTTTAAAAATTTTTATTTATTTATTTATTTATTCATTTATTTAATTTTTGGCTGTGTCGGGTCTTAGCTGCTGCATGCGGGTTTTTTCTAGTTGCTGAGAGTGGGGGCTACTCTTTATCGCGGTGCATGAGCTTCTCATTGCGGTGGCTTCTCTTGTTGTGGAGCGTGGGCTCTAGGCACGGAGGCTTCAGTAGTAGTGGCACACAGGCTTCAGTAGTTGTGGCTCGCGGGCTCTAGAGCACAGGCTCAGTAGTTGTGGCACGCAGGCTTAGTTGCCCCACGGCATGTGGGATCTTCCCGGACCAGGGCTTGAACTCATGTCCCCTGCGTTGGCAGATGGATTCTTAACCATTGAGCCACCAGGGAAGCCTCTGGGCAGGCATCCTGCGTATGGAAGCCAAGCTCAGTCTGCAGGAGACTAGGTGCACCTGGGCCTCCAGGGGCCGTGCCTGGCTCGTGCAGGTGGGCAGGACGGGCCTGAGGGGTCTTACAGGGCCATGTGCGCTTCCCTCAGGCCACCCGCCTTGTCCCACTGGCCTGGGCTGGGTGTCCCTGTCAGTCTTGGGTAGTTTTTCCTAGTTCTGGGTCTCACGTCAGCAGGTGTGCGGTGCTCACAAACCTAAGCCCAGAGATCACAGCAGGCTCATGAGACTCAGGGTGGCCTCCTGGGCACATGCTGGTCTCTTTCTGCGTCCAGGGACACCGGTGGCTGTGCCATGGCGAGGGCCTGTGGAGGCACCATGGTTTGCCCAGGATCCTGGGAGGTTTGGGAGCCCTGGAAGGCCCTGGATCTCCTCCCTGCAGCGGGGTCCTGTTACTGTCCTCCGGGGGCCCCCTGGCCCTGTGCTAGGATGGGGGGTCTGACTCACCCAGCCCAGCTTCTCTGTGAAGCCCCCTACCCCAGGCTAAACCCCACGGTGCAGGGGCATGGGCTGGCCTTGATGTTTCCCTCCCAGAGGTCAGAAGTGCCAGGTTCTGGTCCTGGGAAGGAGAGAGGACAGCTGCTGGCCTTGGTGCTTGTGAGCTGTGACCCGCATCCGGGTCCCAGGCCTGAGCTGGCTGTGCGCTCTCCATCCGCAGGCGTGAACGAGTCCCCACTGATGACTTGGGGGGAGGTCGAGAACACGCCCTTGAGAGTTGAAGGATCTGAAACACCCTACGTGGACAGGACGCCAGGGCCAGCCTTCAAGGTGGGTCGCGGTGGGAGCAGCATGGGTGGACGCAGGGCCTCCTGAGCACCCATAGCTCCGTGCACAGCGGATGGTCTGTACACCTGGGCAGGCACTGCACTTCCACGTAGGACTGGGCACTGAGGACAGGCGTGGGCGGGTGGCTGGGTTGGGGGAGAGACTGGGGCGGGGGTGTTTGAAGCAGGGAGCTGCTGGGGCCGCTCTGAGCCTGCAGGCCCGGAGGAGGGGGCTGTTCAGAGATGAGGGGCGGTCTCAGGTGGGCCAGGAACGCCTGCTGTGCTGCAGCCTGAGGGCGGGAAGGGTCCCAGAATCCTAGTGTCCATGGGATGCGGCTGTGTCCTCAGCAGGGCTGTGTCCTTGCAGAGAGAGGCCTCTGGTTACCGGAGAACCAGATCAGGTGCCCCCAGCCCGGTGTCATAGGAGCAGTCAGAGTTGAGGTTCACAAGGCCTGGAGCCCAGGAGGAAGGCCTTTCTTGGGCCAGGCAGGCAGGCGAGGGGACTGGGTGGCAGGTGGTTTGTAGGGATGGGGTGGCCCGGGAAGGTGCCAGCGAACTGGCAGGCAGGTGGGGCCCCAGAACAACATCGGAAGGCAGGCCCCTGGTCTGCACACAGTTTGTGGGGAAACTGAGTGATGGGTGTGGTTTGGGGGGGAAGTGGGGGAGGTCCCCAGAGCCTAGTGCATACTGTCGGGTGCTGGGGGGGTTGCTGGTGGCAGAGGTGGGTGGTGCCACAGAGGCTGAAGGCTGCAGGGTCACGTCATCTGCTTTGAAACCCCAAAGAATGGGGCATGGAATTTGGAATTCACATAGGTCTGCAGAGGGGACAGGGTCACGGGTCTCTTTAAACACAGGCAGCACCGATGTGGAATGCAAAGGAAAAAGTGTCAGTCACTATAGCAACAGAAACATACAATCATAGGAGCGACTGGCTTGGAGAGAAAGCACAGACCTGTGTGGCAGAAACCTGGTGGCCGAGGGGCGGGTGCTTCCCCAGTGCAGGGGTGACGCGCGGCCAGACAGCGTGCGCAGGGCCCAGGCACCTTGGTTTTGAGCCTGGGATGCGGCGACAGCTGAGAAAAACTTGCAGGGGGATGTGTGCCGTCAGGCGTTGAAGCGAGCCACCCTTGGCAGGTGGGTCAGGCCTGAGCCTGGTCCCAGCGCCTAGGCAGGATTTGGGGCACCATGCTGAGTGTGTGGAGCTAGGGTAACAAGCCAGGCCCTCAGTGTACACAGCAGGATGAGTTCCGGAAAGATGGAAAAGTTGAATGTTAAAACAGCAAATGTTAAACCTCAGAATAACATACCGGTCGACGTTTAATGTGACGTTGAGGCAGGAAGACTTTCTAAACACGACAGCAAAGGGAGAAATCACGAAGGGAGTGGGGGCTGGATCGCGCTACTGGAAGATGACAACCCCGAGTACAGCGGAAAACATCAAAAGTAAAACTACAAGCAGATAACTGAAGAGAAATCTGAACGGTGTACGTTAACGTAGCCAACATAGATGAAACTCCTGCAAGTGAGAAAGGAAACAAAAAACCAATAGAAGGACAGGCCCAGGGACTTCCCTGGTGGTCCAGCGGTGGAGAGTACGCCTTACAATGCGGGGGGCACGGGTTAGATCCCTGGCCGGGGAACTGGGATCCCACATGCTGCGGGGCAACTAAGCCCACGCACCACAACTACTGAGCTCACGCACCTCAACCAGAGAGCCCGCGTGCTGCAAACTACAGAGCCCACGCACTCTGCAGCCTGCATGCCACAACTAGAGAAGAGAAAAACCCGCATGCCACGACTAGAGAGAAGCCCGTGCACCAGAATGAAGATCCCACATGCCTCAACGAAGATCCCGTGTGCCACAACTAGGACCTGATGCAACCAAAAAGAAAATAAAGTTAAATAAATAAATCTTTAAAACAAACAAACAGAAAGACAGGCCCACGATACATTTCTTGAAGTTCTCTATGGAAACACAGAGGCTGGTACACCCTGGCAGTCAGACGAAAGCATATTGAAACAGGCCCTTTTCCTGGAAGGGGGTCACAGGTGCCTGACCGGGCAGTGCCAGCTTCGTGAAGAACCCAGGCGGGCCTTGGGCGGGTGGGCAGCTCAGGCTGGCTGGGGGCTTTCAGGGGCAGTGATGGTGGGCTGTTGGGACCGCAGGGGCCACAGGAAGAGGCCGGCGCCTCCGCGGCAAGGACTCCCTGGCTGGGTAGTGGCCCAGCCCCCCCACACCTGCTGTCTTTTAGATCCTGGAGCCGGGCCGCAGGGAGCGGCTGGGGCTGAAGATGGCCAACGAGGCTGCTGCCAAGAACCGGGCTAAGAAGCAGGAGGCCTTGCGGAGGGCGACGGAGAACCTAGCCAGGTGAGGGTGGCCCGGACCCTGCAGTGGGCGCTCTCAGGGCTGGGGCCTGTGGCCGTCCCTCTGGCCGGAGCAGGGCCCTCTCCACCTTGTGCATAGCCTCCTCCTCCCGCGTACCTGCGGGGCGCCTTTAGGCCCATCGTCCCCACTGAGCTCCTGTCCACCCTGTGGAGTCGGTGTTATCACTGCCCTCGGAGAGGGTTGGGGTCCGCTGCAGCCCCTCAGCCGAGGGAGCCACACCCCTCGACTGCAGGCTCGGGCTCACTGTCTGGGCCAGTCCATCCAGGTTCCCACCCAGAATGATCACGCATCCCCCGGGAGCCTTCCTGTGAGGCCAAGGGAGACCCTGCTGCAGGGGGAGCCCGGTCGGGCCTAATCCTGCCTCTCACCCACCCCTTCCTTCCACTGCAGCCTCACCCCCAAAGGCCTGAGCCCAGCCATGTCCCCAGCCCTGCAGCGCCTCGTGAGCAGGACGGCCAGCAAGTACACGGACCGGGCCCTGCGTGCCAGCTACACACCGTCCCCAGCACGCTCTACCCACCTCAAGACTCCAGCCGGCGGGCCCCAGACCCCGACGAGCACACCGGCTCCTGGCTCTGCCACACACACCCCCCTCAGCCAGGATCCGGCCTGCATCACGGACAACTTGCTGCAGCTCCCCGCCCGGCGCAAAGCCTCGGACTTCTTCTAGTCCGTCCTGGGCTGGGCCCGCGGGAGCTTCATGGAGCCCTCAGGGCAGCTCTCTGCCCAGCAGAGGACTCTGGCTTTCTGGGGACCCAGGCCTGAGCCCGAAGCAGCGAGCATCCCAGGAGACCCAGGAGACAGGTGCTGGGCTGGCACAGGACCTGCCCTGTGGCCTTGGGGAGCATCCCAGGGCCTTGCTGACATGCTTTTCTATCGAACCCCAACCTGTTCCTATTTAACCCTCATTAAAGAACATCTACAGCTCAGCGGGGCTGCCTCTCCGCCCTGTGGCCTGTGCGCCCTGGAGTCACCCTCGTGCCTGCATCGCACCTGCATCCTTCACTCAGGACTGCGGACCTTCCGGGAGGAGGCTGCTGGTGGTGACCCTCGGAGGGCTGGGGTGTCCAGCCTTTCTTGCTGCTGCCTGCGTTGCTTCCGGTGGTGCCCTCAGGGCTGGGGACCTGCCTCTGAGCTGAGCTCACAGCCCTTCGGTCCGCCCTTGGGAAGGGCAGAGCCCTTGGCAGTTGTGCCCCAGGTTTTCCTGCATGAAGAGCTGGTCCCTGGTCCCCCTGTCGCCAGGTTAACCCGGGCTCTGGGCCCAGGTCCACAGCCTCCCTGGCCAGGCCTGACCTGCGTGGTTTGCTGGTGATACAGCTGCACGGGTCCTGCATGTGAGGCTGCTCCCGTGGGAGGCGCCTTCCCAGTGGCCTCAGCCATCACCTCCCAAGCACCTGGCTTCCAGCTCAGGTGGGCGGGCCGTTCTCATGTCCCCTCCCTCCCTCTGCTCGGGGCTCCAGGCCCTGCCTGCCACATGCTGCTGGGTTGCCGGCCTCACCCCGTTGTCACCCCACCAGCGAGACCCCCATGTAACAGTAACCTGGGCCACAGGTCACAAGCAGTGGGGCTGGGCTCCACTTGGACCCAAGAGCGCCGTGGGCACCATGGGTGGGCACCTGCCTCTGGGCCTGACCCCGGAAGTCTTGGGGCCAGCTCCTCGCAGGGAGGTGGGCTGGCTCCCAGACGGGCTCTTTAGGCCTCAGGTGGGGTCGGGTTGTGCTCAGAGAGGCAGCCTGGGGTCTGCTCAGATGGGAACCCCTCACGCTTTGAGCACGCACACCCTGCAGTGGGCCATCCTCATGCTCCCTGGAGGCTGCCTGGGCACCAGCTGGCCCGTGCTCCTCCTCAGGGAAGTCCTGCAAGTTCCTGGGAGCCAAGTCCTGGCTGTGCCCTGTGCCCCACCAAGGGGGCGGTGCTGGGACTGTCCAGGGTTAGGAAAGGGCCGCTTTGGGTGCTTTATTCTCCATAGAGAAGGGTGGGTTTGGCCCTGAGGGAGCCCCCAGCAAGTAGGGGGCGGAGGTCTGGGTGGGTGTGAACGAGATATGGGGCGCTGTCCAGGCAAGGCCACAGAAGACCAGGTGCTGACCACCTGGCGGGGATGGGGGTGATGGCTGATAAAGCATGAGGGCTGCTTGGCGGGGATAGGGGCAGGGGGAATGCCACTGGAAGGTCTCGGCTTCGGCATCTCCCATCTCAACTGCGGGAATGAAGGGGGAGGGGGGTGTTGAGGAAGGGCTGCCTGAGTGGGGGCTGGGCAGGGTGGGGAGGCACGTGGGGGCCTGGCAGGCCGGCGGCCGTGGAATCCTTGCCCATGAGGCCTGGCCCCCACTCCAGATCCCCTGTGCCGCAGGGAGGGAAGTGCTGAGTCCTAGAGAAAATGACTCCTCGCAGGCCTCTCTGCTGCATACACTGGTTTATTTGGTGGTCAGGATTTAACATCTTTGCTACTAGGTGGAAGAAAGCTAATAGAACGTAATCAAAATAATGGTTTAATTGATGGATTTTACTCGTTCTTGCACCTGTGCCTTCTTCAGCTTCTACCTCCTACTTAGCTTATGGGGTCCTCACCGCGCCATGCCCCCCAGGCCCTCCGCACCGCTAGGTGCTCGCCTTCCCCACCTCGGCTCCGGAGACGTGATGGTCCTTCGCCCTGGAGGTCTCAGCCAGCCGGTCCTCCATCCTGCCCATGTTCTCGGGCACCACCAGCAGCTGGTGCTGGGTCTTGGGCCCCAGCTTGTGGTCGGGCTGGTGCTCAGGCCGCTGCTTGGGCCGTGAGCCCGGCTGAGTGTCCAGTTTGCATTCAGCCTGGTACTTGCCTTCACCCTCCCTCTTGAAGGAGGCCAAAGACACGGCTTTGGGCTTGGAGGACTGCAGCCATGAGTGGCTGAGGATCTCATCGATGTGCAGCCGCCGGTTGACGTCCGGCTGCAGGATGCGGTAGATAAGGTCCTTGCACTCGCCTGTCAGGTTCTTGGAGTGTGGGAAGTCCACACGGTGCTCCTTCTGGATGCGCAGCATATTCTTGATGTCCGAGTCGTCATAGGGCATGGAGCCACAGACCATGATGTAGAGAATCACGCCCAGGCTCCAGATGTCATACACCTTGGGCTGGTAGGGAATGCCCTGCAACACCTCGGGGGCCGCGTACGCCGCCGACCCACAGAAGGTCTTGCTGAGGATGATGCGCCCACTGCTGTCCCGCAGGCAGCGCTTGGAGAAGCCGAAGTCTGACAGCTTGATGTTGAAGTCCTTGTCAAGGAGAAGGTTCTCACACTTGAGGTCTCGGTGGACGATGTCCAGGTTGTGGCAGTACTTGACGGCTGAGGACAGCTGCCAGAACATCTTGCGTGCCACGTCCTCGTGCAGGGCCCCCTGGCACTTGATGAACTCTAGTAGGTCGCCCTGAACTCCGAGCTCCATGGTGATGTAGATACGGCCGTCGCAGGTCTCAAAGATCTCGTAGGTCTTGATGATGGAGCGGTGGTTGACGGTCGCCAGGATGTCCATCTCCCGGGGAAGGAATCGCTCCACAAAGTCCATGGGCGTCTTCTTGCGGTCGATGATCTTGACGGCCACGTTGAACTTGAGGCGCTCGGAGTAGGCGGATTTGACTTTTGCGTATGAGCCCTTGCCCAGGTTGATGCCCACGATGTAACCCTTCTTCCTTAGGACTGTGGCATCATCCATGGTGCCAGGAGCGGCTGGCGCCACTGCCCTCTACATCCCCCCCCCCCACCTGGGCCAGCAGGCATTGTCCTCGTTTGCACTGTGGGAAGCCGTCTGGCCGGTCTGGGCCTGCACTTGGAGGTGTGGAACACCCGCCCCCTCCCCCCCCCCCCCCCCCCCCCCACCTGGGCCAGCAGGCATTGTCCTCGTTTGCACTGTGGGAAGCCGTCTGGCCGGTCTGGGCCTGCACTTGGAGGTGTGGAACACCCAGCATTGTCCCCCCCCAGTGACTTCAGCCTGTGAAGTCATAAAGCCAGGCTGCCCGGAGTGGGGACTGGGCGGGGACAGGCCCTGGAGCCCTGGAAGTCAGGCTGACCTGGCAGGAGTGCTGCTCCCCGCCTGCTGGAAGGAAGCTGGCACCCAGGACTGTGGTGACCCTCACTGCTCTTCCTCCTCGCTGTGCTGCACTGTCCCGAGTCAGGCCCAGGGGACCGCCCAGGTCCAGCCAGCGTGCGGGCCCCACGCCCATTTCCCTCTCCTGGATGTGGGGACTGACTCTGCAATGGCTTCTGTCCCACGAGGTCCAGTTTCCTGCCCCTTCTTTGAGGTGTGATGAGCACCCCCTCTGGGGCTGTGTCTTCGGAACCTGCCGTGCTGGGGAGGGACTTCCCTGGTCCGGCCGGGCTGGTGGTGGTTCCAAGCCTGGGAGACAAGACCAGCTGTCCGGGGAGCGGGGGTGGGGTGGAGGTGGGTCAGTGCTGTGATGGCGAGCAGGGCGTGCTTGGGGCAGAGGGCAGCTCAGAGGCTGTGAGTGCCCAGCCCGGCGGCCCGGTCCCCAGTGGGCTGACACATGGCACGTTCCGGGGTGGGTGGTGGTGGTGATAGGTCCAGGCAGGGAAGGGCGTGGGGGAGGGAAGGCCGTTCTGAGAATGGCTGAGTCCCAGAGTTAGGAGGAGGTGGAGGAGAGGGTGGGGGGACAGCTGCTGCAGGTCCCGGGGCAGGAGCAGCCAGAGCCCAAGTCCCATTTTTAGGTGGGTCCTGGAAGAGCACATAGGGAAGGGGCTTTGGGATGAGCAGAGGCTAGCGCCTGTGGCCAGGCACGGGGAGGCTGGACCGGGCAGGTCCATGGGGAGGGGGACCGGCAACAGGGGGAGACTGGGTTCTGGTGCGTTGGCCAGTGAGTGGGCGGGGCCTCGGGTGGAGCCTTGGTGCTGCAGTCCCAGGGGTCTTGGGGGATGGCAGCACCCCTAGCACTGACAGTGAAGAGCAAGCACCTGGGTGAGGGGGGATCCTGAATTATGTCGCTGGGACCTTTGTGAGCTGTTGGAACCCTGGGAGGGCACATCTTTGCATCTCAGACTGTCTTTGCCCCTGGAAACAATGTGGAAACCCCTTTGTTCTTGCTTTGGGAAACGTGGCCTCCCGTAGCATCTCCTCGGGTGTTTTGCAAGCCCTGCTGTCCACTTGTCTGTCCTCTGTAGCGCGTTGCCAGGACAGGAGGCGTGCCGTGTGTGTGCTCAGTTCTCCGGGGGTTGGGGGAGAGGAAGTCCTGTTTGTGGGTGGGTGGGTGGGAGTGACTGTGGAACCCGCATGCAGGGGATCAGCAGGGCTCCCCCATGTGCCGGCAGGGGTGGT